AAAGAAAAAGCAATCAATGAAGACTAACCCTGAGATAACCCAGATGTTGTAATTAGCAGACAAGGATTTTAAAACAGCAAGTATAACTCTGCCCAAGGTCCCACAGCCAGCAAAACCTCAAAGAAATCCAGGACTGTGGCATCTCAGCAGCGAACAAATTTTCTCATCCGTGTGGCTGCCCAGCATGATCCCTGAATCATCCCCAAAGAGGAACTGGGCTCAAAGGAGAAAGCAAAGGAAAAAATATGGAATCAACAGATATTCAGCAACTAGAAAAAGGACCCACCATGCGGCCGCTCCCTTTTCCCATTATTCACCTTTCAACAGCTGGCCTCTCACCCTTCAGATACTGTCACTTCACATGTGGCTAATATCTCACACTTTCCTCCATTTTCCCCTGCGTTTTTCAAAGTAAATTTCACATTCCTGACCTCCCTGGACACTGCAGGGTAGGTAGAATAAGGATTAGTAGTGAATCCCAAAATTAGAAAATGTTTTTTCTTCCTTCCTCTTGCCTTTTCCTTAGTGACGTGATAACATGGCACGATCTGCAGGAGGACTGCAGACAAGGGTGTTGGACTGCCATGTGCAGTTGTCCATGTTGAGCACTGCTAAGGGAAGCCTGGCCAAGGTGCTGAGGGGTTGCTGGATTCTAGCCTGCATTCTGTTCTTCAGGCCAGATGCCTTGAAATGGGGCTACCTTTGCCCAGGGGGCTGTCTTAGGTTTTGTTTGCCCCTAAAGGCAGACCCTGAGAAAACCCTGAGAGGCTTCAAGAATAAGCAGTTCATCTCGGAGGCACTGGCAGGTGGGTGGAAAAGTGAGACAGAAGTAAAGGCAGCCAATATATGGTATATTACTGAGCAGGTTACTTCTGTGAGCAACTGGGGTTCCATCCCCGGAGACTTCTAGTATACAAGTAGAAAATGACTAAGAGATGTTCCTACCACCCCAAGAATGAGGAAGTTGGGGTAATACCAACTCCCCATCTCCCCGTCCCTGTAGAGGGATGCCCTCAAGAGCATTAACTTCGGCACTTCTGTCCTGTCCGACCCACAAGCTCTTTCGGCCAGAAAGAAGCCATCAGCAGAGCGTCTTGGGTGTTCAGTGGAGGCGCATGACCACATCTGCTCCAGAGGCCTTTTTCTAACTTGCACAGAGGCAAGCCCTGAGAGCCCAGTGCCTCTTCCCTGCCCCGTCATCTGAGAGAGGTACTCACCGGTGCCTGGTGCACTTGAACCAGTTCAGGATGTCTGTGCATCGTGTGTAATAGATCTGATCGAAGGGGTGTGCATACGATTCCTGGACGGTCACAGCGTAGCTGAGAACCAGACGGGAGACGGGAGCTGTGATTAGCGCTTGGGAAGCTGAGCTGATATTCCGCAGGGCATCTGAGCCCACAGCCCCGAGGCCAAGCTCCACAGCCAAGTGTCCGGGGGCTCTGACCTCCCCGCTCCCAGCCATCCCCCTCCTGTCCTGAACGCCCTCACATTCTAGCCTCCCCGACCCCAGGTTGGCCCCAGGAAACATCCCTTGCTGACCTTTGGCCCAGATCATTTTCTAAAATTTTAGTTCATTTGTTCATTTAACAGAGAGTGAATAAAGAGGGGAGGGTAGTTCTATTCTGTGTGCCTCTGGAAGGCACAGCCATCAAGTGTAAAAAAACTTTATATGTTTCTTCCTATCTTTATGGTTTTCAAAGAACCTGCTTGGAAACTGGTCTTTGCAGCAACGCCATGACGTAAGTGGCCCCATTGTACAGAGGAAGAAACTGAGGCTCAGAGAGAAGTGGCTTACCAGCTCACACTGCCGTATCAAAAACTGCTAACATTTATTGAGTACCCCATGTCAAGTGTTTTAATCCATTTTAATCCGTGAAATCTTAGGCAGGTGGAATTGTTCTCACTTTACACATCAGGAAACTGAGCATCAGAGGGCATAAGTGGCTTCCACAAGCTCCCCTGTTACGTTCTAACCTATTCTGCCTCTAGTACAGCTGGGGGTACATTGAGGCTATGTCCCTGATAGAAGTGGTTTCTTGTCATCCTGCCTGTTAGCTGTAAACCTGGACCAGCAGGTGGAAGCCACAGGGAAGCAGATCTCAGCTTAACCAAAATAAGCCTCTCTACCTGCTGGCCCCTGGCAGGGGCTGCATGAAATGACATTCAAGCCAGGATGCTGAAGTGAGGACTCACGAGATCTAAGGAATTAATTTCTACGTAGGTTGGTATTATTCAGTGTTTTCCCCAGAAGGCTCGCTGACCTGGGCCAGATGGCCGGGTCCAGGCTGTAAACGCACGTCTGCCTTTACAGCCTGAGGAAACTGTCTTGGTTAACTTGCAAGGGGTCTGGGCAGGCCAGCTTCCCAAGTGGGTCCGCAGCAGGCTCTCTGATGCCTGAAAGGGCAAAGGTCTGGGATCCAGGAGGAGGCCATAATGCTCAGAGGCCTGGGCAGTAGGAAATTCTGTCTCTCTGAAGCACTGGGGATGTAAGGAGGGTTGTCGGTGTGCCCCTACCAGCTGGCACACATCTAGGAAAAAACAGCCCAAACCCTGTTTTATCTCCAGGCTTGGGGAAACTGAGGCAGCTTGACACTCAGCCCGGCCACCCAAAGTCCTCTTCCAACTCTGGGATGGTATGACTCTTTGCTCCAATACATCTCCTGAATACCTCACTTAGCGCGAGAGGATGAACGGGGAGCGAGCATGGGGCCTGGAGTCCAACACGGGGCAGTGGGAAGGGCGAGTTTGAAACCCGTCACCTGTCAGCGCCATGCCCTGTTATTTGACGCATAGGAAGCCTCTGTTTCCTCACCTGCAAATCTAACCAGGTTGTGTGGTTACTGTGAGGATCAGTAATATTCTCTCTCTCAGGGCAGTGGGAAAATAAAACAAACTGTGCATGTAACATGCTTAAACAGTAAGTGTCTAATAGATGTTGACAGGCAATGGTTCGCCTCCCGTGCTAGGTGCTGAGGAATCTTTCCTCCCTGACCAGGGTAGGGCAGAGAGGGAGCAAGACCAGCACACAGAACGGACTCCCCACCTTTGTTAAGCACTTGGGGGTCCAGCCTCCCTTTCCAGCCCTGACACGGACCAGGGAGGCCAGAGAGAAGCCCAGCGGAATGCTGCAGGGGCAGTCCCGGGGCGGGGGCCGGGCTCTGCAGGATGCCCTGGGCTGAACGAGTCTGCCGCGAGGCCTTGTAACAGCTCCGAGTTCTCTGACCCACGTGTGTGCCCCCGGTTTCATGGCTGGGTGGTTTAACACTGCTCATTTGCCAACATGCTAATGAGCGGCCAAATTAATCTTGGAGAGCCAGGCTTTACCAGCCGGGAGGGGTCTTTACACCGGGTTTTATGGTGGAAGGGCATAATTAATGAGGAGCCTCCAGAAGCACTAATCCAGCTGGGAAATTCTCCCTAAACGGTCTCCAGGGGCGGGGTATGCTTGTAACAACACAGACTAGGTCCGTCCACGTACAACTTACAATGCAGCTCAGCTGAAACACTGAGCAGAAAGCACCCTGGTGACACCAGGCATCACCCACAAGACTTCCTGCTCGGGGCCGGCGAGGCCCAGAGAGTCCCCAGACCTCATTCCGGCTGTTAGGGTTTCACTCCTTGTCTTCCCTTCCAGGCTGTAACCTTGGCTGACAGCCTAAGAAACCTGGAATGCCAGCTCAGTTCAGCTCACTTCAGGCTATTTTCACATTCCAAGTGCACTCATGTTGGATGGGTATAGAAAATTAGTGAGTACCAGTGGGACTCAGAGAAAGGCAGAGGGGGCCCTGCCTGTGGGGGAGGCTCCCTGGGGAAGAGGGGCTCCGGATAGAGCCACTGGGGCAGGCAGAGGTGAGCAGCTGGAAAAGAGGCACTCTAGAGGCTTCAATGCCGCCCAGACAGTAGCAGGAAGCAGCTGTGTCTTAACGGGACCAGACGGCTGAAAGGGGTCCTCTGAGGCTGCAGTCCAAACCCACAGAATAACATGGGGCTCTACCTGATGCCTCTCTGACCCACTGGGAAATAAAGGTTTAAATTCACCAAAGCCAGAACAGGCAAGGAGCCTGAGTAACCTCAGAATCATGTAGAAAGCTTATGAAAAATGCCGGGCAAGGTGGCTCACACCTGTAATTCCAGCACTTTGGGAGGCCAAGGCGGGCGGATCAGAAGGTCCGAGACCAGCCTGACCAACATGGTGAAACCCCGTCTCTAGTAAAAATACAAAAATTAGCTGGGCATGGTGGCAGGCGCCTGTAATCCCAGCTACCGGGGAGGCTGAGACAGGAGAACCGATAAACCAAGGAGGTGGAGGTTGGAGTGAGCCGAGATCGTGCCACTGCACTCCAGCCTGGGTGACAGAGCACAATTCTCCTTCAAAAAAGAAAAGAAAAGAAAGCTTAAGAAAACCGCAATACTGAGTCAGCGGCATCTCTGGAGACTTTTTCATATGTACCTCCCATGAGTCTGCCATGTACTAAGTCCATGATAACCAGTTCCTGCAAAGCCAGAGTTGTCAACAAGAAAAGACAGTAACTGACACGTAAGGTCCTCAAAGCACTTTCATGAGACTGCTGCGCTTGATCCTCCGTCGAGCCTGTGAGGCAAGGGTCATGATTCTCCCCACTTCACCCAGGTGGAAGCAGGCTCAGAGCCTTTCAGAGACTTCCCCAGAGTCACACAGCTTGCAGGTGGAAAAATCCAGATGGGAATGAACTGAGGTCTTCTCATCACGGATCTTGTTTTCTCCTCACTTCACCAAAAAGGGGCACACCACAGTACTGCCTTTTGCTCCATCCTCAACTTTGTTGGGACGCTGCATACAGGGTCTGGTCCCCGGGGATCACACCAGTGCAGACACTGTCCCTCTGTCCCCCAGCTAATCCCTCCTGATCCACAAGTGTCCAGGCTACCCCAGAGCCACATCCTGCCTGGCTGAGGTGCCTTTCCCTGCCCCAGGGCTGGGCTGTCCACCCTCATGGGCATGAAGCATGGACACCCCCCAACCCTCCCGCCCGTCTTCCTCTACCATTCGCTTCTCCCATAGGGCCCTCATCTTAATTTTATTCATTTGATTTATTAACATCTAAGTGGCAGAGTCATCCTGGTCAGCATGGCCAATCAATTCCAGGGTTTAATTCGGTTTTTCCTGATTGGGTCTCTGGTCACTGTCTTTCTCCTCACCAAAATCAATACTTTAACCTTGTGCTTCAAAGTCAGGCCGTCTGCAGGGACCCGGCCTGTTCCCCCAGGACTTAGTGCCGCAGCTGGAATGCAGCCTGCTCCTCTGCGGCAGCCTCCGCCTCCCTTCCCCGGCAACCCCTACCCCCACCAGACCAGAAATGGTAGGACCCTGTCACCCGTCCTCCTCAGGGCAGGGTGCTGGGGCCACACATCCAAGCTGCCACATGGCTGCCAGTGGAGACCAGGAAAGGCATCACAGCCTCAGCGAGCATGCCACGTGAGGCCACAGTCCGCATCCCCCCACTTTCTGCACCCCATCTGGCTGTGGACAGGGTGAGCCCCTCTGGGTCTCTACTTTCTCATCTGTGCAGCGGCTGGGAAGTGCCGGTGCCGGGCGGGAGGGGTAGGACGGCGCATCGTAGCTGCAGTGAATGTAAGTGGCCTCCACCCTGACCTTCCAGAATCGGCACTGCTCTGTCCTGCCTCTCGGCATCTGGGCTGTCTCCCCAGCCAGGCTGCAGACCCTTCGAGGCCAGCTCCCATATCTCCTGACTGCCCGTGTCCCTTCGCGCCGTACCCAGGGCGATCCCCTAGAGAATGCCTGGCCATCTGAGGCCCTCGCCTTACCTTTCCCAGTGGCTGCACACGTTGGGGTCCTCAGGGTTCAGGGCAAGGGTGGCTTGCAGGAAGGAGAAGGCCACAAACCCCGTCAGGGAGAGCGCCATCCTGGGCCCTGCACGGGAGAACAAAGGGGGACACGTCTGTGATCAGACCACGTTCCTGGCATCTACTTAGTTTCCCATCTTGTGGGTAATGAGCATCTGATAACTCACATTGCAGGCTGACAAGACTGTAGCAGTTCACCAGTTCTGAGTAACAGGAGAGTGGGAAGCCTGAGTTAGGGAAAAGTCCAAATTCCAGGTCAGAGGTTCTGGACGCTTTTTTGGCTCAGAGACTGCTCTGAGAATCCAGTGAAAGGTATAGATGCTCTCCCCAGAAAAATGCCCACAAGTGCAAAATTGGCTATAATTGCAGGGTGTCCTCAGGCCCCCGGGCCCATCCTTGGACCCAAGGACCCCAGATCTGGACTGCTTTAAAGGGAATGCCCTCCCCGTTCCCTTTTCCCTCATCATTGACATTCTTTGCCCATCTACTTCCTTTCCCTACTCCTTCCTGGCAAGAAGAAAGAGAAAAAAGATGTCTTATGTGGACCTGGGGGCAAATGAGCCAAGAAAACCCTGATCTCTGGGCCCACAAGCCACGGAAGACTGGACCTTTCCTCTTCTGTCTCCTGTGGGGTATCAGCTACTTCTGCCCAGAGTGACGTAGTCATCACGTGTCATTCCCACTGTGGGATGCCAGGCTTATTCCACCCGATAAGGGACCTTAAGGAATCAGTCCGCAGGCTTTGATCCAGGCCCCTCTGAAGTGAGAGCCTATGGCAGGTGTGTGTTTACATGGGATGCCAACTCCCTTGCTTCACTAAACCAGGGGTCCCCGACAAGGGGCTCTTCACAGAGGGCAGACAACCTTTCGGGTGGGAGTGGCTGAAATGCTTCCTAAGGCTCCTTCCTGTCCTGGCACTCCAGGACTCTGTGGTCCTCCTGCTCAGAGAACTCCTAGTCCAACGCTTGCAGCCCGGTGGCTCGCTGACCCTGAGGGGTGCAGAGGAGCTGGAATTCACAGGCACGCAAACATCATCTGTAGACTGAATGAACGCCGTGACTCAGAAAGACAGAACTATTTTTCATGTGTACATAGATGCTATCGTGATTTATTTGAAAGCTTTGCAGAATTCAGAGCCGCTTTTCTTCTTCATCAGCAACAGTAAAAACGGCAACTTCTAATAACTGGGGGCGTGGGTGTTGCAGAAAATATTTTGACATTGGAAAGGGGTCACAGGCTTGAAATGGTTGGGGACCTATCCCACTGGCCCTGAGTTCGCAGGTGAGGAAGAGATCACCCTTCTTGGGAGAACAGATAAAAGCCGGCATGTATTTCACGCACACCCCCGTTTGTGCCCACAGGGAAGCTAAATGGAGTGCCTTTCTTCTGAAAGGTTAAATACCCTCCTCCCCTCCACAATAATTTCCTTATTAAACTCTTTCTCAGCAGCTCCTTCAAAGATAAACGAATTGTCACAAATTCTGTGTAACCGTGGGGGGTCTAAATTAATGATGAATGAGGTGTTTCTGTTTGAGATCTGGAAATCAGCTGCCTAAAATGCAGATTTTGCCAGATTTCAAATGAAAATCAGAAGGAGGGAAGCGATTCCGGCGTTTCTGCTCAATGTGTGGAGTCCGGGAGCGTGCGAAGCGCAGACGCTCAGAGCTCCCCACCCACTCCCCCCAGTCCACTCCCCCGTCCCCAGAGACCCAGTCAGCACCTCAGACGCCTCCGCACAAACTGGAGTCTGTGCAAGACCAGCGATGCGGGGCAGCGCAGCCATCATTTCCATCCATTCTCCTCTGGGAGATTCAACCTAGAGCAGAGAAAGAGCCTGCCCAAGACACGGCACTGAGTGATGCAGAGACTCAAAAGTGGAAAAAAGCATCTTCTTCCAAGTGGGGTTTGGGCTCCTCAGGCATCAAATAAGGAAATAAACCGTGGGACACAGAGCTCCAAAAGGCAGGGAGCTGATGCCGGGTGTAGAGGACATCTTGCCTGGCTGGGCTCTCTCTGTGGCCAGGCTCATCACTTGGGCCGCTCCTGTCATCTCCAGCATTCCCCCGAGCGAGCCTCCTGACAGCATCTTCAAACTTACTACACCAAGAGTATCAAAAGATGAGGCCACCTGGACAAGAGAAGATGGTTCCTCTGGTCCCTTTTGACCCACGTGTTGGGAGAGAGAAGTAACTTGGATCGTTGCTGTAATTTGTGAGATTTTAAAATCCTCAAGAAAACCTCCTTCTCTCTGAGTCAGGTCTAGACAGGACGGTTTACCTGACTTCCGCTTACATGGAAACCAGGGCACAGAGAGGGTGTTGGAGGTTTCGATGTGCACATGGGAAGCGGAAATGGATGGGCTGGGAGAGCCTAAGGAAGCAGCCGTGTGGCTGGCATGTAGACTAATTTAGACTGATGGTCTGAGACCCGACTTCCATGCTCCTCACTCCGTTAGAGTGAGCATGGCAAAATCTGCAGAGCAGAGGGCGTCCCGGGTTTCACACTCCAGCTCTGAACAGAAAGATCCCTATCTGAGGCCAAGTCTGCCTCTGTGGCAATGGGCAGGGCAGGACGGACGCCCAGCCTGTAAAGCGGAAGGCAGGATTCCTCTAATCTCTCTGCTTCCTTCTTTCCTCTGGCCCAATCTGAAATATGCAATCTTATCATGCATCCCTCCTTCCCTGGGTTAGGCTGGATTTCTTTCCTGCTCATTGTCCACTCCCAGCCTCGCTCACCCTGCTCCTCAGCCCCCACATGCTCTTCATCCTTAACTCTGCGTATGCAAATATCATCCACTCAAGGTGCAGGTCAGGTCCCCAGCCCCCTCACCCCCTGCAGGGCTTGGCACCTACTGCGTTCCAGGCATGCCACATGCATGTCACTGATATCCGGGGCCACGCAGTCCAGCAAGACCACTTCGCATCTTGCACCGACATCTTTCCAGTGTGATTGGAGGCACCCTAAAGGTGAGGTCGAGTCCTATGCTGCCCTTTCAGGAACTGATTTTAGAAAAAGTATTTCTGGCAGGGCTCAGTGGCTCACATCTGTAATCCCACTGCTTTGGGAGGCCAAGGTGGAAGGATCACTTGAACCCAGGAGTTCAAGACTGCAGTGAGCTGTGATTGCACCACTGCACTCCAGACTGAGCAAAGAGAATGCGACCCCAGCCGGAAAGAAAAGAAAGCAAAGCAAAGGAAAGGAAAAAGAAAAGAAAAAGGGGGGGAGAAAGGGAGGGAGGAAGGAGGAAGGGAGGAGGAAGGAGGAAGG